GGGCACCAGCACATTTGAAAAGCTTTGTGGTCGCCCTGTTCCTCGTGCCAAACCTTAGGATTGGAGATGCTGCTGCTCAGTTGGATGAATTAAATGCAATGGGTTTAATTGAACCCCAAAGTAGCAGGGACCAGGTGGCAGCACTGAATTGCCCAAGACTCGATGATCATGATTATCATATCAGCAGCATAGAAAAAACAATGTTCATAATGGCCTAACCAGATGGTCAGCACGGACAAAATGAATTTTATTTTGGCATGACTTGTATGGACCTTTGGTACTGACTAATCAATCATGGTTTTTCCAGGCATGACATCAATAAGAAGCCTACTGCATTTCTCTCTGATCTGTATAAGCAGAAAAATTCTCAAACAAATGAAAGAAAGGCTATACTGGACCTTGACAAAAGACAGTCTTGGCCAGTGAATCAATTTCCAGACTTGAGTCAGTTTGCAGACTGAAAACTTCTTAAATAAAGGGATGGCCAGGTTCCCCTAAGGAAAGACCCTGATAAGATAGCTAAAAGCTTTACAGTTAGTCTTTCTCCAGGCTTCCCTGCAAGGGACCTACGGCCTTTTACAAGGGCAACTGTACACTGAGAGAAAGGAAACAATCAGACTTTCCAGGGTCTATTCGATGCTGGTCCTGAATTGATGTTGATTCCAGGAGATCCCAAGAAACACTGGCCCTCCAGTTAAAGTAGGGGTTAATAGAGGCCAGGTGATTAATGGCATTTTGGCTGAAGTCCAACTCACAGTAGGTCCCCAAACTCATCTTCTAGTTATTTCCCCAGTACCAGAACGTGTAATTGTGATAGATATACTTAGAAGTTGGTACAAAACTCACATTGGTTTCCTGACCTATGGCGTGAGGGCTATTATGGTTAGAAAGACTAAATGGAAGCCTTTAGAATTGCAGAGGCAACAGCCAAAGAAAATAGTGAATCAGAAACAGTAACACATCCCTGGAGGAACTGCAGAAACTAGTGCCACCATCAAGGATGTGAAAAATACAGGTGTGGTAGTTCCCACCATCTTCATTTAACCCTCCTATCTGGCCAGTGCGGAAGACAGGTATGAGTTATCATGTAAGTGCTCACCAAAAGGTGACTTCAGTAATCAAGTAAGTAGTAAGACCCATTCTCTGGATAGTTAGCCTCTTTCCCCAGCCATTCCTGCCATTGCCCAGTGGGCCCATGAACCAAGCAGCCATGATGGCAGAGATGGGAGTTGTACATGGGCTCAACATGGACTTCCACGCACCAAAGCTGACCTGGCTACAGCTGCTGCTGAGTGCCAGATATGCCAATAACAGAGACCAACACTGAGCCCCAGATATGGCTCCATTCCCCAGGATGACCAGCCAGCCACCTGGTGATAGGTTGACTACATTGGACCACTTTTGTGGAAAGGACAACGCTTTGCCCTCACTGGAGTAAATACTTATTCTGGTTATGACTTTGCCTTTCCTGCACATAATGCTTCTGCCAAAATACCATTTGTGGACTTAGAAAATGCCTGATCCACCAACATGGTAGTCCACACAGTATTGCTTCACCAGGGAACTCACTTCACAGCCAGAGAAATGCAACAGTGGGCCCACAATCAGGAATCCACTGTCTTAGCGTGTTCCCCACCATCCTGAAACAACTGGCCTGATAGATGGAATAACCTTTTGAAAACACAGTTACAGTGCCAATTAGGTGGCAACAGCCTGGAGGACTGGGGCAGGGTTCTCCAAAAGGCGATACATGCTTTGAATCAACATCTAATATATGGTACAGTTTCTCCCGTAGCGAGGATCCATGGATCTAGGGATCAAGAGGTAGAAAAGGGAATAATTCCACTTAGTATCACCCCTAGTGACCCACTAGGAAAAAATTTGCTTCCTTTCCCGTTACCCTAAGTTCTGCTGACCTAGAAGTTTGGGTTCCAGAGGGAAGAGTACTCCTGCCAGGAGCCATAACAGACATTCCATTGTATTGGAAGCTCAACTTCCCTCTGGTCACTTTGTGCTTCTAATTCCCTTAAACTAACAGGCTAAGAAAGGGGTAACAGTGTTAGGAGGGTGATTGATCCAAATTACCAAAGGAAAATTGGATTACCTCTCTATAATGGAAGTAAGAAGGATTCTATCTGAAGTACAGGAGATCCATTAAGGCATCTTTTGGTGCCACCATGTCCTGTGATTAAAGTCAGTGGGAAACTTACAACAGCCTAATCCAGGCAGAATGACAAGGGATACAGACACATCAGGAATGAAGGTATGGGTCTCTCCTCCAGAAAAAGAACCAAAACTTGCTAATGTGCTTGCCAAGGGTGGAGGAAATACAGAATGGGTAGGAGAGGAAGGTAGTTATAAATACCAGCCAAGGCCACGTGACCAGTGGCAAAACAGGAGGATTATAGTTGACATGAGTATTTCTGCTGTATTTTGTTAACACGTGTACAGATATTTGTGTTTTCTTTCAATTGCTTATATGTTGTAACATCAATTAAAAGAACACTATTAGGATGTCCCCCAAGGGACCTTGCCACATATTTTAAATTTATAATGTGTTTGTATTATATGAGGGATAGTTATATCATGTTAGGTGTAATTATGACCTGGTTAAATATATAATAAATATGTTTGTGATTGTACATGAGATAGTTATAATGATTGGTCATATTATGACATGTATGGTTGTTTTCATTTGGAAATTAATCATGACATAAGAAGCTATGATTGCATGTCAAGTTAACAAGAGGTGGACTTGTAATGGCTATTCTTGGTTGTCAACTTGACTATATATGGAATGAACTACAATCTTGAAGTGGAAGGCACACCTGTGAGAGATTTTCTGCTTAGTTTGAAGTAGATGAGTACACTTTGCATCCAAACCTTTGAGGTAGGAATCCACCTCTGTTCCAGATCTTGAGGTGGGAAGGCACACCTTTAATCTGGGCCACACCTTCTTCTGGAAGTCTATAGAAGGACATAAAGGAAGGCAGCTTTTATTTGCCCGCTACCCTCGCCTAGCCCATCCGTTCTCTCACTGGCATTGGAGCATACTTCTTTGGGATTCCAGCATATGCAGAAGACCAGCTGAGACACACAACCTTGTAGGACTGAGCAACTACTGAATTTGGCCTGTCTGTTCACAGCTAGTCATTGTTGGAGTAGCTGGACTGCAGCCTGTAAGTCATTCTAATAAATCCCCTCTAGAGTGAGATTCATTCCATGAGCTCTCTGACTCTAGAGAACCGTGACTATGAATACACAAGGACTAAATCTTAAGGTGTGATCTTTTACAGAGGTAGCAGCCATTCTGATTGTCTTCCTTCTCAAAGTCTTACCGTGCCTTTGCTAACGTTTCAAAAGGAACCGTGAAGGGAGTGGTGCAGATTCAGGCTGGCCCTACAACACATCATGCCTTGACCAACCAGTGACCATCTAAATCAACATGTTTTTTCTTTAATAAAATAAAAAGGAGGAACTGTGGCAATACATTGATAAAAATAGCTCTTATATTCTAAGAGAATGGAGCTTTTGCTGGACCTCACAGCCAGAGTTAGTAATACACCTTGAGATCACTTGAGACTGCTGTCCTACTATGTGCTCAGCCTATTTGTTTACTCTGCCTCTAAGAGAACAATGTAAAAGCCAACTTTACTTACCTTGAATTTCCCGTGTAATCAACTTTTTTGTTGTTGTTTGGTTTGGTTTTAGTTTGGCGGGAGCGGGGGAGGTGTTGTTTTTGAGACTGGGTTTTTATGTAGTCCTGACTGTCCTGGAACTTGCTATGTGGACCACACTGGCCTCCAATTCACAGAGGTCCTCCTGCCTCTGCCTCCCAAATACTGGGATTAAAGTGTGTACCACCATGTCCAGCCCATATGATCAACTTTTACAGATTAAGCTAATACATAGCTGTAATCTTGAGTTTTCTACTCTTTCATGCTGCTGGCCCAAGAATGATGCATGTGTTATGATAATCATTTGCTGGAAATAGCTGATAGACTGAAAGGAATCTTACAAAATGAGTTCCTACAAATGTTAAAGGCAATATTCAGATATTGCTTGATAAAAGAGAAAAGGAGGTGGCGTGGGTTACCGCATAAACAGTACGTGAAGAATGAGGCAGCAGTGGAGGATGATGGTTCAGAGACAAAGAGAGCACCTAGTTTTTCCAGCAAACAATAGAGCAGTGGTTCTCAACCTTCCTGAGGCTGTGGCACTTTAACACAGTTCCTCAATGTTGTGGTGACCCCCAAACATAATATTGTTTCTGTTGCTTCTTCATAACTATAATTTTACTGTTAGGAATCGTAATGTAAATATCTGTCTTCTATGGTCTTAGGTGACCCCCAAAGGGTGGTGACCCACAGGTTGAGAACTGCTGCACTATCAGTGAGAGAGTAAGGAAATGCTCTCTCCCCTGAAGAGCTGGTCCAAGAAGGACCCAACCCTGTAAACAGCTTGTTTTCTGATTCCTGCTTCTGAAGTCAGGAGAGAATCCATTTCTCTTTTTTCAAAAAAAATTTTTTTTTTAGCATTTATGGGTGTTTTGCTTGCGTGTATGTCTGTGCACGTTTCTGCAGTACCCGAGAAGGCCAGATGACAGCTTTGGATCCCCAGAACTGAAGCTGCACACTGTTGTGAGCCACCATGTGGGTGCTGGGACCCGAACCTGGATCCTCCAGAAGATACGTCAGTGCTTGTAACAGCTGAACCATTTCTCCAGCCCAGAATCCACTTTTTTTATGTAATGGCAACTTAAAGATAATGCACTTTTTCATTTTTAGATTTATACTTTTTTTTATTTGATGCAGATAGATGATTTGCAGGCGTATTGGATGCCCCGAAACTGAATTACAAGTGGTTGTAGTTCACAAACACGGGTCCTCTATAGGAACAGTATACACTCTTAACTGCTGAGCCATCTCCTTAGCCCCTCTTTGTTTTTTTAAGAAGTTCCAGGTTGCTCTGACATAGAACCCCTTTTTTCACATAATACCGATTGACATGCAAAACACATAATTTGGAAGAGTCTGACTCCAGAAAGACAGTAGTGGTCTACCTAACTTACAGAGGGAAGTTTAGGCTATATCATTCTCCATTTTGCCACCATAATCACCTTCTGGAACTGGATCTGACTGAATTGACATTTGCTTACATGAGGAAAATACTTAAAATATCAATTTCTGTCTCACCCACTTTGTTTTTTTACTATTTTCATTTGTATTTATTACTGAGGAGGAGTGTTGCAAGCCACAGCATACATGTGGAGGTCAGAAGGGAACTTCCACGAGTTGGTTCTTCCCTTCCACCATGTCTCCCAGAGATCAAATTCATGTCACTGGGCTTGTGCAGTAAGTGGTTTTAATGTTGAACCATGTTGTCAGCTCTCACCTATCTTTTAACACCAAGGGACTACACAGAAAAAGGCTAAAATTAGGGATGAAAGTCAACAGCAACATCAAGGTATAGTTGGGAAGAGTATTAGTTACCACCCATAGTCCTCATAATCTCCCTCAAATTAATGTACTCAATTTAAGACAAGCTCTCTAGCTCCCCCTCAACCCCCAGATTGGCATTCCTAGACCCCTCTTCTCATTTGTTCATTAGCCATCACTGGGAAAACTGGTGTTCTGGTATCTTTACTACAAAATGAATCGCATGCACCCTGCCATAGTAATTAATACCATATTGCAAAACATTCTTTAAGATTTATTTATTTATTTATGTGTATGTGTGCGTGAACGTGTATGCAACACATGTGAGGATATCCGATGAGGCCAGAAGAAGGTGTCAGAGCCCCTGATGCCGGAGTTACAGGGAGTTGTGAGCCTCCCGACTTGGGTGCTGTGAACTGAACTTGTTTCTCCTGGAAGAGCAGCAAGCAACCTTAACCGTGGAGCCATCTCCCCAGTCCCTGCAAAACAGTCTTAGTCACCTAATCTGTTTTGAGTTTCAGTTGCCAGCACTTCTTTTGTGGTGGATCCAATTGTGGTTTTTAATTTTTTTCTCAGGAATTCATCTTCGTGGGTCTCGTTTCTAGAGAGTTACCTATGCCCTGAGGTGGGACAGTGTTCCCAAGGAGCATTTGCTTTTCCTCGGGCCCCAGGAACTCAAGAGTCATTTGAATTCGCTGCTCTGTTTGGGACCAGTATCCCAATCTGGTCATTAAAATTAGACCCTGAGTCCACATGTCTCAGAGATTTTCTTTTTCACATGCATGTGCCTATACCCCAGACTTCTATGCCAAATACATCACAGGCTCTTTCATCAGTATGTGTCACAGGCATCTAAAGCCAGTTTTCCTGATATCTGTTGCAAAACATTTGTCCAATTATATAAAGATGTGTTGCTGTTTTACCTTGTCTGCCTAAGGCACCTGATTGGTCTAATAAAAGCTGAATGGCCAATAGCAAGGGAAGTGGTGTAGGCAGAAATTCCTGGCAGGGAGAATAAATACAAAGAGGAATTTAGGCTCAGGGGGAGAAAGAAAAAGGACACCAGGAAGATGCCAAGGGCCAAGACAGATGCTGAGAAAACAGGAAAGTAGGAAATACAGAATGAAAGAAAGGCAAAAGGCCTGGAGGCAAAACATGGATGAAGAGAAACAGGTTAAATTAAGTTAAAAGAGCTAGTGGGGCAGGCTAAGCTAAGGCCAAGCACTCAGAATTAGTAAGTTTCTGTGTGTTTCTTTGGAATCTGGTTAGCGACCCAAAGAAAAATCCAACTACAGATAGTGGCCTCCTCCTGGAAAACCTGTAGTTCCACATGAATTTCGTATTTGAGGAAACAGTACCAGATTGATACGTGTGGGAATATAGGAAGTTTACTGAATAATGGGCAAGTAGGAGTTGAAATTTGGTTTACAAATAGTTCACTTGCACATCTTCCATTTGTGCCCATTGAGAGGGAAGTGTGTTTTGTTTCCTGATTATACATGGTGCCATATGGGCTACAAGGGGCCCTATCTCCCTATGGCCACTTTGTTCCTCCCCTCATCCACAGCTACATCATCCCAAAGGCTCCCTAGTCCCTACAGCTCCTGTGTCCCTTTCCCTTCAGGAAGCTGCTGAATCTGGATAAGGATGCAGAATTTTGAGTTCTGTTTGAAATCCCATTAAAGAAGAACTCATTTTAGTACAACTAAGCCCTGGCCATCCATTCTGTCCTCGTTTTCTAGCAGAAGTCTCTTTTTACTCCAGTCTATTCACATTTGTAGCCAAACAATCATGCCATCATGCCATATTCACACTTCACAACTGGGGTTGAGCTATCTGTTGCTCCCTGAACGCATGCCACAGTTATTGGAGACAGACATTTTTACTCAGAAAATGAGGCATTGAGCTTTCTGGTTCCTGATTTGAGAGGCTCACAGGCTGGACTCCTTGATCACTCCCAGAAAGGTGTGCCTTTCACATACAGATTCAGGGGAAGGAGACTCAGCGTACACGCATTCAAGGCAGAAGTAGCCTCCCAGATACTTAGTGCGAGATCAGACCATCACCCTGCTTTGGAAGGAACCAGCCATCTCGTGAGTTCCCTGTCCTTTTCCAAGTCCACTGGGAAGCTGTCCCATACAGGTCACTAAAAAGTGCCCCACCCATGTCTGGCACATTCCTCAGTCAGGGTGAAGGTGTTCACGTGTTTAGATAATACTGTCTTGATTGTCCATAGAGCTGCTGCGTGACCTGAGAGTAGAACTAAATACATGGCAATGTCAAATTCTGAAACAATGCCACAACCCACCTAACTTTTGGAAGCCAAATGTTCAAGATCAAAAGGAAACAGTCCTACCAAACTAATCTCTCACACCATAAATTTGGAAAGTACTGTGGAATGCTACTGAATATCCATAAATCTTTTATGGATTTGTGAAGTTTAGTATTGCTATAGTTTGGATATGGCTTGGTCCCTGTGGTGATTGGCCTTACTGTGAGAATAGATTTAGAAGATTGTGTCTCTGAGGGTGTTTCCAGAGACATTTAATGGAGAAGAAAAACCCACCCTGCATGTGAGCAGTATCATCCCATGGGCTGGGGTCACAGATGAAATAAAAATGAGAATTCCAGATGAACAACCTCTCTCCCTCTCCCTTCCCCTCCCCCTCCCCCTCTCCTTTCCCAGGAGTCTGCCTGTTAGCAATGACCTACAGACATTCTTCAGAATAAATGTGAGCTGTAATTGCTGTCAGTGCTAAATATCTCACACGGGAAACTTGCATACACTGGGTACAAAGTACCCACCACTTAAGAGACATATGCTTGAGGTCTGAGGTGGAAAGGATTATGATGTGTTTCACTAGCTCTCAAGTGGGCCAAAAACATGAGAGAGAGCGAGAACTGGGATAAACGCTGTCAATGGTAAAATCTAGATGAAAGATATGATGATGTCTACTTTATGATTTGTGCAACTTCTCTATACATTTTCAAAGTTTTCACAGTTGAGAGTTAAACAAAGCAAATCATGATGACTCTTCATTAGAGTCAAATTAATGTCAAAAACAAAGAATAGGAAAAACCCAGCAATGGCAGAGGCTGGCTGGAGGTCAGTCAGTGCATGCTGGGGTTTATTTCTGCTCAGGGATGTCTTGAGAAGTTGAAAGCACCTGTGGACAGAGGTACAGCATTAAAGAGTATGTTCCCTTACAAATCCAACAGCTCTCAACCAACACATGCAATGCTCAATGCATGGTGAAGACCTCTGCCCGAGGACCCTTGGAGCAGAAGACACACCCACTCCAGGAGAGGCTCTGCCATCTCTGAACACCACATGAAGCCCCCCAAAAGACTGCTCTTCTGAACTCCAGGTTTTATATTTTTTTGAGATTTCTTGAACCTACCAGAGAAGAAAACACTGTGTAGGAAGGGAGGCGGTGCCTGCCAGTCATCCAACTCCTGGACTTCTTTTATCTCATTCTTCAAGTTGTTGGCCTTTTCCTTCTCCCAGAAAGGCAAGCTGGAGGAAGAACACAACCCTGCTGAGTTTGAATGTATGCCATGTTAACTTTACAAACACCACTGATGGATAAGGCACTGCACACCACAAAATGAAGGAGGCCTCCACCTCGGGGCTGTGGAGGTAGCTCAGTGAGTAAAGTAGTAGGACTTTCCTTTGGGCCGTCAGCTCACAAATAATGACATGGAGACTTGATGTTAATTCCAAAAGCTCAGCCTTAGCTTAGGCTTGTTCCATTAGCTCTTATAACCTAAACTAACCTGCTTTTATTAGTCCATGTTTTACCGTGTGGCTTTCTGTCTTTCTTTCATTCTGTATGTGTGACTCCCTCCATGTCTCACTGGCATCTCCTCATGCCTTGATTATCTCCTCCTTTCCTCTGCCCAGAAGTCCCACCTGTACCTCCTCCCTAGCTACTGGCCATTCGGCTCTTTATTAAACCAATCAACAGCAGTATATCTTCACACAGTGCATAAATATCCCCACAATATTTCCACCTTTTGTCTAAATAAAAAGAAAAGGTTTTAACTCTAACCCAGTAAAACTTTATACAATAAGAACAATTTTCAAGTAAGAATTACATTCACAATGTCTAGCTCATTTGGATTTGGCAAATTCAGAGAAAATACTCTATTATCTATCCTATCTTAGTGGGTTCAAAGTTTTATACCTAAACCATTTTCTATCATAACTTGTATTGCCATCCTAAAAATGTTTTTTTTTTAGACTTAAAAACTTCTTGGATAAATAGCTTAAGCTTCTATGTTGCTCAACCTTATAAACTATATCTCTTATGTAAGTTGTTTTCTGAATTTGTCAACAAAGAAAACTGTATACCATCTAGCCTTCAATCCCCATCAGAGACCCAAAAAGGATATATTACCTCAGTAAACAGGAGGTGCAAAATAAGCAATTTCTAAAACTATATAAATGACAGACATCTGGCTGCCTGGACTATCACCCAAGGTTCCTCTGTAATGTTGGGGCATCCATATTGAGCCTACAGGCCTAGAATATCTGACAGACTTTCTTATGAGGCAGGAATTTTGAGGGACTGTCCTACTTTGTCTTGGCAAAGTTTGGCAGTTACCTTTTGTGTCCTGCTCATCCAATTTGGGCACCATATTGTCAGCAGTCAAGGTAAGGACAGTTTTTTGCCCAAATGACTAGCCTTGCCACATTGAAGACAAACTCCATATGGAGGTTCTTTGATGCCTGTCATCTTTTTTTGAAGTAAATTGGTGCTGCCAAGAGTATATGTGTCTCACTGTCATGAAAAACATTGTTATTAAAACATCTTTAATGTCATATTCTATAGGTCTCTTAAGTGTTTGAAACCCATCTTTCTAAAATATATCTCTGTTTGACAAACAGAAATTACTAGTCTTGCCAAGAATTAGGAAACTGTGATCAATAATCAGATGAAAAGAATCAGTCAGTAACAACAGACCCAGAAATGGCAGAAATTTTTCAGCAAACAAAAACACTAACACAGCTATGATAACTATGCTGAAGTAGTTAAGGAAAATGAGGGAATCAATAATAGATTTTAAAAAAAAAACATGGTGTGGGAGAATTGTCTGTATTCTGTTAATCATATTTTAATAAAACACTGATTGGCCAGGCAGGCAGTATAGGCGGGAAAGTCAGACAGGAAGTAGGGGTGGAGCAAAGAGACTGGGAGTATTCTGGGACACAGGAAGCTCCCTCTGTCACTCCTGTGCAGACCACCGAAGAGGCATTATGTAACTTGCCCAGCTGAGAAAGGTACGGAGCCATGTGGCTAATGTAGATAAGGATAATGGGGTAACATAAGTTATAAGAGTTAACAAGAAGCCTGACCTAATGCACCAATCAGCATTATAACTTACAGAGATCTCTGTGTGATTGATTTTCTCTGGGACTTGCCGGTTGTGGGGTACCGGGTGGGAACAGATACCCCAACAAGCTGGCCCTCATGTTACAAAATCAGATGAGGGATCAGCCAGATAGCTCAGTCGATAAGGGCCCTTGCCAACAAATGTGACAGCCCAGGTTCCGTCCCCAGGACCCACAGGATGGAGTGAGGGACACCTCCCAAAAGTGGTTTACTCACACACATACACATGCACACATGCCTAACCACAATAAATACATCAATGTAAAAAGTCACATGAAACTTCTAGAAATTAAAAATATTAAGCCAGACATGGTGGTGCATAATTCCAGCATTCAGGAGGCAGAGTCAGGTGGATCTCTGTGAGTTTGAGACCATCCTGGTCTACAAAAAGTGTTCCAGGACAGCCAGGGCTACACAGAGAAACCCTGTTTTAGAAAAAAAAAAAAGTAGCCGGGCGGTGGTGGCACACGCCTTTAATCCCAGCACTCAGGAGGCAGAGGCAGGCGGATCTCTTGTGAGTTCGAGGCCAGCCTGGTCTACAGGAGCTAGTTCCAGGACAGGCTCTAAAACTACAGTGAAACCCTGTCTCAAAAAAACAAAAAAACAACAACAAAAAAAAGTACTAGTGCCAGCTGGAGGTGTAGCTCGGTAGAGTGCTTTTGAAGCAAGCAGGAAGCTGTGGCTTAATCCCCAGCACCACATAAACCAGGCATGACGCTGCATAGGTCTCCCTTGACTATGTCGTGAGTTTGAGGTCAACCTGATCTACATGAGACCCTGTCAAAGAAGTAAAAAAATAAATAGTCTCCAGATAAGATTTTTCAACAACCGTGTACCGAGGGAATGGGAGCTAAATCTAAGAAGCAGTAAGTAGTGGATCCAGCTCCTGAAACTGGAGCCCTAAGGTCTCCTGACACCATCAGTTGGGCAGATGACTTCCAGGTCAAATTGTCATGAAGAAAGCCCAAGTCTCCTGATTCATAGATTGGCCCCAGTACAAAAGAACAACCTAGTCTGTAGTGCTTCTTCTTTAAAAAATACAATCCCAGCACTTGGGAAGCAGAGGCAAGCAGAGTTCGAGGCCAGCCTGGTCTACAGGGCAAGTTCTGGGACAGCCAGAGCTACATAGGGAAACCTTGTCTTGAAAAGCCAAAAAATAATATAATATAATATAATATGTTAGAAAAACCATACTGCTTGGTATTTTATGGTTTATACATACAAATATATTTACAAAAACTCAAACAGTTGGGTGGAATGCAAAGATTAGATGGTTGTTGGTATTTTAATTCTAGAATAGTGTTTATAAAAAAAAGTCCAGGCATGAGAAGCCTAATTATACGTTGTAGGGAATAATGACGCATAATGAAGGCATGAGAGGTGCCAAGTGAAATAAAAGGCTTTTATTCCCCCCGAGCTCTGAGGTTTGCCACTCCCACTGAATCCCAGTGTGTGAGACTCAGGAACATGCACCCACCTCACCATACTTACAGGAGACTGTATTCAAAAATAGAGAGGAGAGGTAAATAAATGCATGAGGTTCAGACGGCCAGAGCAAAAGTGTGAAATCGGGGGGCTGGAGAGATAGCTCCGTAGCAGTTAAAAGCACTGGCTGCTCTTGCAGAAGACCCTGGTTTGATTCCCAGCATCCACATGGTAGCTTGAAACCATTTGTAAATTCAGTTCCAGGGAATCCAAAACCCTCTTCTGGTGACTCCGTATATTGGTCATACACACGGTATACAGATATACATGCAGGCAAAGTACCCACACATATAATTTTTTATTTAAAACTATTTAATTCTATAAGCATGGAATTAGGAGCACTGAGATGGCTCAATTAGCAACGACTCCTGCTGCCAAGTATGAAAACCTGAACTTAGTCCTTGAGACGCCCAGAATAGGAGAGAACCAATTCCTAACACACAGCATGCGCGCCTCCATGCACACATCTTTTTTTTTTTTAATCTTAGTATAAAAACAAGAATAGTCCTTCCCTCCAATACACATGTTCTATTGACTTTCTCTTTGGTTTTGAAGCTCCAACCAAGTTCCCCAGCTGCAGTCATTAAACATGCGCTTGTCTTTCCCAGAATACTCTAATGTGATAGGCTCTTGAGAACACGGTGATATTAGTCTTTTTGCTCCATGCAAATGCCCCTCCTGTGCATACCCAAGCACACCTTTGCGTCTGTCAGTTAGCCGGTGTCATATGTAGACTTTGTCCCCCTCCATTGCCAGAGGCCACAGACCCTTGACCGCTGTGTGTCTCTCCAACCGCCCACCCTATATACTGCGCTGACCCAGGTGCTGGGACACAAACAGTCCCCATGGTTTGAGTGACTGCAGGCTCCTCCATGGGAGGAAAGGGTGTCATTTTCTCAGAGATCAGACCATAGAAAACTTGGTGAGAAAACTCACTTGGGGATTTGGGGAAGTGGCTCCAGTGGAATAAATGTATCAAATTTTTTTTCATAAGGAACCCTGAAAAAAAAACAGTAAAAACAACCATAAGATTGCAATGACCTCTTCAAGCATGGAGAGCAACACATCATCCTTTCCACAATCACCCCTACCTCCTGGTGTCAGATCTCAAATGTGGGCTTCAGAACTGTACAGGGAATAGTGTTTAGTTTTTTGTTGTGTTTCATCAAAATCATTGACTCTCACGTGACTGGTTTTCTAACCATTTTCAATATAATACGACAGCTGTTTTCCTCTTCGTTGAATGACTCTTCTCTCTGATCGTATTTCCACAACTTCGACTCCACATTTAATACAACCCATATACTAGTCACTAGCAATCAGACTGGGCATGGAAGCGCCGAAGCCTTCGAGTATGCGGTAATAGAAATCAGACCAACAAACAACCACTTCTTTGTTTGTCTATCAGCTTTTAAAAGTACAATATAATGGGATTCATGACTTCTATACATGTGTATCATTGCAGCTGGCTCATAGTCATATGGCTCATATGGCTCATAGTCAACCCTTCATCGCCCTCTCATACTCCCTCCCCACTGTTCCTCTTCCTTCCCCCAAATTGTTTCCCCCCAGTGATGCACTGTATATAACATATATGTATATATACATATGTGTATATATGCGTGTGTGTGTGCACATGTTTCTTGAAAATATAGTGGGTTTTTTGTTGTATTGAGGTTGAAATTAAGGCCTTGCCTACGTCTGCATCACCAAGAAGCTCTATCCCGAGCCCCTCTTGTGTTTTTTATTATTTCAATTCCACGGTGTATATAGGCACAAATTAACTAAATATGAACTTTCAAAGGAATTTGTCACTCCATCATATCTTATTGCTGTCCATCCCTTTAAAAAATAATTTCTATACAAGGACTAGGGAAATGGGTCAGTAGGTATAAGACTTGCTATGAAAGCAATAGAACCTGAGTTTTCAAATCCCCAGAACCCACATAAAAGCCAGGCACAACTGTCTGTACTTGTAACTTCAGCACTAGGGGACAGACAGGCAGATCCCAGGAGCTCAGTGGCCAGCTGGCCTGGCCAAAATATCGAGCTTTGGGTTCAGCCAGAGAGATCCAGTGAAGCATAAGGTGGAGAACAACAGAAGAAAAGCCTCAGAGTCCTCCTCTGGCCTCCACATGCACATACATAAGTGTGCACTTACACATACAGGTGCTTATCACACACACACACACACACCCCAAGATACATAACTAAAATAAATGATAAATTAAGTATTTACATACAGCAGAAGAGACTCGATTCCTTTACAGTTAATAAAATTCCCCTGGAATGAGCGCGCACTCACAGTGAAAAGTTGACTGGTGGCAGAGTTGCCCCTGCTTTGAAGAACTCCTTACTCTGCTCTGGGAACATATATGGGTTATCCCCTGGTGTTAACTTTGGGATTCCATTTCTGGGATCAATATCTGTGGGAAACGTTTGGAAACATGACACATAAGGCTGAAACCAATGCCCTGTTCACTGTGAGCAGCAAAGTATTCACGTGACAGTGAAGATCAAGCCTCTTCGTGCTTAGAGTGAGATGAAGTTCTGTTGCCTGCCTTAGGAAATCCAAGTCGATGGTGACATTTTTCCTACACCATGCTGTCAGATAGGATTATTTTAAAACCTGGAGGGTTGAGAAAGAGAGAGAAGGTAGGAGCCAGAGGGTGGGTGAGTGTTGTGAAATACCCTCCTCTGGACGTGGCATGGCTGTTGCACACATACACTCACAGCATCTGTGCAAGATTTGCAAAAGGTCAAGCCAATTAAATTTCACATAGATTGGGGGCAGCTTCTGAGGCATAGAGCTGAGAATCTATTAGCAGTTGATAGCTGCATGGGGAGGGAGAGTCATCTTTATTTAAGAGTAGGGGCCCAGAAAGTTCTCCACATCCATGGATGACCTCACATAACCTTCAATTTCAGCCCCAGTTGAAGGTTAAAAAAAATTTTTTTTTCAAGACAGAGTTTCTCTATGTAGTCCTGGCTGTCCTGAACTCACTCGTAGATCAGGTTGGCCTCAAACTCACAGAGATCCACCTGCTTCTGCCTCCCAAGTGCTGGGATTAAAGGCATGTGCCACTACCTAAATTAAAAAAGGGGGGGCTGGAGAGATGGCTCAGAGGCTAAAAGCATTGCCTGCTCTTCCAAAGGTCCTGACTTCAATTCCCAGCAACCACATGGTGGCTCACAACCATCTGTAATGAGGTATGGTGCCCTCTTCTGGCCTGCAGGCGTACACACAGACAGAATATTGTATACATAATAAATAAATAAATGTATCTTGATCATACCCTCACCTCACTCCCCACCTCCCATCCTCTTGGGCCCCCTCCCATCACATCTTCTTCCTAACCTCAAGAGGAGGAGTATGATGGAGGCATCCCACTTAGGCCTGAGCACTCCAGTCTCTCACTCTGCATTCTCCAGCCGTGGTCTGTGTGCTAATTACTGTATACTTCAAGAACTTCTCTGATGAGGACTGAGCCATGGTGTGATCTGAAGTTCTGGGCGGAACTCTGAATTTGTTGGGACGGGGTTTCATGTAGTCCAGGCTGCCCTTGAGCTCACTATGTAGCTAAGGATAGCCTCTAATGCCTGATCCTCCTGAGCCATCTCCCCCCTGCTGGGATGACAGATGTATGCTGTCACATCTAATGTGTGCAGGGGATGGAGCCAGGCTTTGTTCATGCTAGGCAAGCACTCTACCAACTGAGCACCATTTTATTCCATGGTTTATATTTTTAAAACTAAAAACAGAAAAGTGATTATCATCAGGTATTGAATTTGCTAAGCTTATTAACTTCGTTCAGTTCTGTTCATTTATTATGGTGGTCCTTGTGTGTACCACTCTCGCTTCCACTCTAAATAACAAAGAGAGTGAGATATTTGATACATTCTGTATCTCAATTAAATGTCATGCACTCCCATTTTTAAATGTATTTGGGTATGTGGTATATGTACATACATGTTTGTGTGTGTGCACATGGGTGTGCAAGGTGCATGTGTGATCTTACATGTGGATGCCAAAGGTCGATGCTAGATGTTTTCCTCAATTGCCCTCTACCTTATTTTTTGACTCAGTCTCTCACTGAACTCATTTGGCTTAGAGGCTGGCCAGTGAGCTCCAAGTATCGGTCTGTTTCAGCTCCCCAGTTCCGGGGTTACAGGGGACAACCACCGCAGCTGGCTTTTGTGTAGGTGCTGGGGATCTGAACTCGGGTTCTTATGCTTGTGCAGTAGCCATCACCCCAGCCTGCACTTCCTCTGATTGTTTTTTTAATTTTTATCTGTATGAATGTTTTGCCTGCCGGTATGTGTATGTACTACATGTTTGTCTGGTGGCCACAGAGACCAGAAGAAAGCATCGGATCCCCTAGAACTGGAATTACAGGCAGCTGTGAGCCACCTTATGGTGCTGGAAATAGAGCCAGGTCCTCTACAAGAGCAGCCAGGGCTCTTAACCACTGAGATGTCTCTGCAGCCCTTCATTTCCTCTTGATGAATAGGAAGTTTAGGATCTGGGCAAGGCATGGGACTCCTATAAGGATCCTACATCGGAGGCCATGCTTGCAGCTTCTCTGGGATAGCTCTTTATCCAGATAAGTCCAAGCCTCAATTTGAAAATCCATTTGTCCTTTTCATGAGTTTTACAAGAGAAGTTGCTAGTTATTTCTCTCTGCACAGCTTCTGCAAAAACCTTATTCATCACTGAGGCGTTGGCTGCCTCCTCCTACGTGGGTATTTCTATAGGAAAGGGCCATAAATGGCCCTCTGGTGCTCAGCAACCTCTTAGGATCTCTTGACAAGTTATTCTGAGTGAGTTGGGACAGAGAACTCGCCAGGTTACAAACCAAGGTGACACATGGATTTAGATATGGTATGTGTGCAACATTTCACCTTAGTTGCCTTTAATTAAACCAAAAATAACACTTTATACTTCATGCTAAGGCTTACTTTAAATGTGCATGACAGGTGGCATCTAACTGAAACATCCATGATTGTCTTTGGGCTTCAATGAGGCGTCTACTATAATGATGTGAAATGACTCATTTGGTGACTTAAATGTCACATTAGCATTTTCTGAGAGCTAGAGAAAGACGTAAGTGTGGATCCACGTGCATTCCAAGTCCTTCATCAAAAGTTGTCACCCGTGCACTGGATTCTCTGTCTTCCTGTCTTCCTGACTACTCTGTGGGCAACAGGGTGACCCTGCAAAGCTGTCCCCAGGCGAGAAGGCAGAGCCCATGGAGCCACAACTAAGGGCTTCCGTTTGTGTGTTTCATCTTTGATGGAATGAGACACATTACCATACTTCTTCTTCCCGAGGCTCTTGTCCAGTGTCCTCTCGGCCTCAGACCTCCTGTTGCCCCGGAAGACCCCACTGAAGAAGCACTGCTTTCCAACGTGGTAGGTGTGGATATTGCTGCTAAACCTCGGATAAAATGTCCACTCAGGACGCTGCCCATCTTCTGCAAGATATCAGAAACCTTCCCGTTAGCCCTGCTCCCTGCCCACAAGACAATGAGATGACAAGATGTAAAAACTCCTGGGCTCTGTTTGTCCTACAGCCTTCTCATACATGCACTCTCAAAAACATGTGTGTAAGAGTGTTTGTCTGCAAATATGCATGTTCGCCACAGGCATGCAGTGTCCACAGAGGCCAGAGGGCCTGGGATCTTCCTGGAACTGGAGTTACAGGCAATTGTCAGCCACCATGTGAGTGTCAGGAACCAAATCCAGGTCCTCTGAAGAGCAGCCAGTGCTGTTAACCATTGAACCTTCCCTCTGGTCCTCACACTCCTTTGGCTGTTAGAGACAATATCACTATGTAGTCCAGGCTGACTTGAACTCTTTTGTGGGGTCTATATGTGTGTCTGTGTGTGTACATGTATGTTCATGTAGGTAGACGTGTGGATGTAGGTGTGTGTTTATGTACCAGAGGTCAACATCTATGTCTTCCTCGATTGGTTTTTTATCTCGTTTATATTTATTTTTGCTTTTATGTGTATAGGTATTTTGCCTGTTGGTATGTCCGTGTACCACGTGCATGCCTGGTGCCCATGGGAGTCAGAGGAGGGCATTGACTCTCCTGGAACTGGAGTTAGAGATGTTGGCCTCCATGTGGGTCCTGGGGATTGAACTTAGGTCCTCTGGAAGAGCAGGCAGCATTCTTAACAGCCAAGTCATCTCTGAAGCCTTTTCATCTTTTTAAAAAATATTTATTTTTCTATTATATACAATATTCTGTCTGTGTGTATGCCTGCAGGCCAGAAGAGGGCACCAGACCCCATTACAGATGGTTGTGAGCCACCATGTGGTTGCTGGGAATTGAACTCAGGACCTCTGGAAGAGCAGGCAATGCTCTTAATTGCTGAGCCATCTCTCCAGCCCCCCAGCCTTTTCCATCTTACTTTTTGAAACAGGGTCTCTCTCTGGATGGAAGTTTCTACCCATTTGACTAACTGGAACCTCCTGCCCCTTGCCTTCCTGCTGGGATTACAGGCACAGGCTCGCACACTCAGCTTTTTCACATGGGTGCTGGGATCTAAACTCAGGTCCTCATGCTTGTGTGGCAAGCACCTTGCCATCTTCTCAGCACCCCCAGCCCTCCAGCCCACCCCCACCCCACTGAAGGAAGTGCATTACTGGGGGTTATGACTTTGTCCTGCTTCCTGTCTCCACACCACTGCTTCCTATGTCTGGGTGAACTGTGACCTCCCAGCCTCCGGCTCCTTGCCTCCCCCTTCATGCTCTTTCCCCGCCATTCTCGAGTCTGCCCCTCTGGAACTGTAAGCTATGATAAATCTTTCTCCCTTAGTTGTTTTTGGTCATGGTATTTTATCATAGCAACAAAACATAACTAATCTTGGGGCTGGAGAGATGGCTCAGTGGTTAACAGCAGTAACTGCTCTTCCAGAGGACCCAGGTTCAGTTCTTGGCACCCACATGATGGCCTCCAACCATCTGTAACTCCAGCTCCAGGGAATCTGATGCCCACTTCTGGCTTCCATGGGTACCAGACACAGGCCAGGTGCTCATGCATCCATGCAAACAAACACTCACATACATAAAATAATAAATCTTTTAGGAAAAGAACTAAAACAAACAGTCACATGGACCTAAAGCATTGCTGCAGGAAGAGGTCTGTGATCTATGCAGCTATTGAGGGAAAATACATTGATACATTGTATACTACAACGCAGTTATTCTGCGTCTGTCACTTGATGACTTGAGAAATGGGTCATTAGGGCTGCTTCGTTCTTCTCTGAATACCACAGTGTGCTTGCACAGACCTACACAAAGAGGTCAGTGTCAGCTTGATGGGGTCCGGAGTCACCTAGGAGACACATCTCTGCATGTCTGTGGGAGTTTCTGGATTGGATTAGCTGAGGTAGGAAGGCTGGGGTGTGGGCTGAATCCTGGGCTGAGTGAAAAGGAGAAGCAAGCTGAACACCAGCTGTTGCCACCACCACCCCTCTCCTTCCTGACTGGACACAGTGAGCAGCCGCCTCCCACTCCTGCCGCCGCCACGTGGACTGCTGGGTCAAAATGTACCCTTTGTTAAGTTGTTTCTTCACAGGGGTGAAAAGTAATTCGTACAGTTGTTCACTCCTTGATGATATCTTTCTTGATGATATCAAGAGATGTCCTAAACACAATGTGTGAGGCCACAGTATAGCCAAGCATACTGTTGTATGGTTAACTATGTGTTTCGTGCGCACATGCATGCATTCATGTGTGTTGCACCATCATGGTGCAGGCCAAAGGGCAAACAACTTCCAAGAGTCAGTTCTTTCCTTCCACCATGTGCATCCTGGGGATCAAAACTCAGACTTAGGCACAAGGTCCTTTGCCTGCTAAACTGCCTTGCCCAGCCCCCTTAACTTCTTGTAATAAATAGAGAGAGTACACTTCGTAATGATGGTATAGTGTAGCATGCTAAATATCTAAACCAGTGGTATAGTGACTTATCATTATCAGATATGATGTATGTGCTATGCTTTTCTATAACTGGCCACCAGCATCACCACAGACACAGTCACATGTATGTTAGATATTAGCAAAGTTATGACATCACGGGCAGTGGGAGGCTTTCACCACATCATGTTTCAGTTGAACCACTGTCATATATGCAGGCCACTGTTAGCCAGAGCTGCATTATATAACAGATGACTGCTTTTCTATGTATGTATGGACATACATACACAGGTGCACATATTTCAAAATTCAGCTCTTCACAGCTGTGGGGAAGAATATTGTTGGAGAGTATTGAGTGAGAGGGCTTCTGTCTGTAACACTTCTGTGTTGTTTGATCTATTTTATGGCACTTACACTTTCCTCTCATTTATGAAAACCATATGCCATACATATCTCCCACAAAGCCATCATGAGGACCCAAGAGGAAGCGTGCTAAATGTCTGACACTGGGCAGGGGAGGTCTTCCGGGACTTGGCCCATAATAGGACAGATTTCTGGAAAGGCCCCAGGAGCAGATGCCTCAGGAGAAAGGCCTAGGGTCTACTCACCTGTCTGTAACTTAAGCAGGCTGAGTTCCTCAGGGTATTTTTCCTTCTGGAACACAGGCAGTGAAACTTGAGAGGAGCGACTAGACCGTGTGGAGGAAGAGGAGGAGGAAGAGGAAGACTTCTGACCCATCTCTGCCGCTGTGCTGGAAGGCAAATGGCAGGCTTAGATTCACCTGTGCTCAAACTGGCAATCACACAGATCGTGAACTAGCGGTACACACGTTCTCAGCAACAGGACTAGCCTCGCTTTCTATAAAGTCCCTATAAAGTATCTATAAAGTGTGTAGTTTACTGACTCACAACTTGATGGTACTAAAACTTACTCAAAAGATCCATGCTTTAAAACAATCAAGTTAGCTGGGCAGTAGTGGTGCATGCCTTCAATCCCAGAGGCAGGCAGATCTCTGTGAGTTCAAAGCCAGCCTGGTCTACAGACTGAGTTCCAGAACAGTCAAAGTTCCATAAAGAGAAATCATGTCTTGAGGGAAAAAAAAAAAAAACCCAGGTTAGCCAGGTGGTGGTACATGCCTTTAATCCCAGCACTGGCAGAAGCAGGTGGATCTCTAGGTTAGAGACCAGCCTGGTCTACAGAGAAACCCTATCTTGAAAGACCAGATAGAGGGCTGGAGAGATGGCTCAGCGGTTTAAGAGCCGCTGCTCTTAAGAGCATTGCCTGCTCTTCCAAAGGTCCTTCCAAAGGTCCTGAGTTCATTGTGGATGGCTCACAACCATCTATAATGAGGTCTGGTGCCCTCTTCTGGCCTGCAGGCATACACACAGAAAGAATATTGTATACATAATAAGTAAGTGTTCTATGCTGAGCTACATTCTCAGCCTTAAGAAGTTTGTTGTTAGAATCCCAGTCCGTTGCTATAATGAGGGTCTCTGTCTCTATCTCCATCCGTCGCCGATGAAGATTCTATGGTGATATTCGAGATAATCATCAGCGTGATAGTGGGGCAAGGTCAGTTCAGGCACCCTCTGCTCTGCTGTACAAGGACCTAGCTGGGGACATCCCCGTGGAAACCTGGGATCCCCCAAGGCCCAGTTGAAAGGCAGAAGGAGGGAGAAGACAAGCATGGAAGTCAGGACTGCGAGGGATTGGTCCACCCACTAAGGCAGTGTACCTGTTCTAATGGGAGCTCACCAAACCCAGCTGGACCGGGTCTGAATGAGCATGTGATCAAACCGGACTCTCTGATTGTGGCTGACAATGGGGGCTGACTGAGAAGCCATTGATAAAGGCATTGGGACTTGTTTTTACGGCATGTTCTGGCTTTTTGGGACCCTAGTCTATATGGATGCACAGCTCCCTAGACCTGGATGTAGGGGGGAGGGCCTTGGACTTCTCACAGGGCAGGGTTCCCTGCCCTCTCTCAAGCAGGGTGGAAGAGGGAGGAGGGGATATAGGGGAATGGGAGGGGATTGGGAGGAGGGAAGGAAGTGTAAATAATTGAATGGAAAAAATTTAAAAAAAAATTAAAAAGAAGTTTGTTGTTATTTTTGTTTGTTTAAGATTGATTTATTTATTTTCTGTATGTGAGTGCTCTATCTGCATGTATTCCAGAAGAAACCATCAGATCCCAATACAGATAGTTGTGAGCCACCATGTGGGTGCTGGGAATTGAGCCCAGGTCCTCTGGAAGAGCAGCTGGTGCTCTTAACCGCTGAACCATCTCTCCAGCCCAGGTAATCATACTCTTGACAGTATCTCTTAGGATGCGTGTTCTTTATTTTCTTTCATTCTTTTGTGTATGTGTGTGTGTGTGTGTGTGTGTGTGTGTGTGTGTAACTCTCTCAGGTTATCTTTTGATCTCCACTTGTTCATAATGAAATGCGTGCACACACATGGGGGTAAATAAATAATAAATAAACGTTAAAAACAGAAAAATACAATTTGCTCGAATTCACACAGATCATCATTGGAGGAGTTGGGATTTGAACCTAGGTAGCCTAGCCCTAAAGTTCTTGCCTAGCAGGGCGTGTGCACACACGCACACTCACACACACACACACACACACACTTACTCAGAGTGAATCAACACTCCAGGGGGTCCTGGAGGCTCAGTGACTCTCCGACCTACTTCATCAGAAGACGAAAGACTGGTCCTTCTGTCAGAGGCCATCCTGCTGGCCAAGGAACCCTTGGACTCTAGAACGTCACTGTGCTTGGCATCTGCAACACAGATGTTACCGGTTAAGTATATTACTGAAATATCTGACAGCCTATTTTATTTCCTACATTATATTTTTAAAATGGGGGAAGGGGTCTGGTGAGATGGCTCGGTGGGTAAAGGGGCTGGCTGCCAAGCCTGTCAACCTGAGTTCAATCCCCAGATCTCACAGGTGGCAAGAGAGTTATCTCTCCAGCCCAGGTGATCATACTCTTGACAGCATCTCTTAGCTCATTCTGTATCTTTCATTCTGAGGGCTGCCCTCTAACCTCCACATGGGCACCGTGGCAAAGCACACCTCTACTCACACCCAATAAGTAAAATTTGAAAGCAACTAATACTTAGTATTTACTGTGTCCTGAGGGTCGTGTTAACACACACACATGCACGCACATATGCACGCACAATGAGAAAACAGGTTCAGAAGGCTATGCCCTTGCCTATCTATATTCAGGGAAAAAACTAAACATCCAGGCCCAAGTTTGTTGACAATATTGTGGTGCCAGAGTCTGAATCACAGCCACTAATCTGGACTGCTTGTGTCTCCCCACAGCTCACCTGGTCCAAACTGCGTGGAGAGAGATCTCTGGAGCAGCTAGGTGTCGCTGTTCACTGTATGGACACCGTGGCACAATTCTCCAGAGAATTCTCCATCTCGTGACAGGGTGAATGAACGCAGCTGGCCTGAAGAAGTGCCTTCAAAAACTTCCATACCTGCTATTATTGAGCCACTCATTCACAAACATAACTTTGCCATCAATGATATCTAAAATAGCACTTGGCATGGGGCTGGAGAGATGGCTCAGAGGTTAAGAGCATTGCTTACTCTTCCAAAGGTTCTGAGTTCAATTCCCAGCAACCACATGGTGTCTCGCAACCATCTGTAATGAGGTCTGGTGCCCTCTTCTGGCCTGCAGGCATGCACACAGACAGAATATTGTATACATAGTAAATAAGTAAATATTTTAAAAAATAGCACCTGGCATGACTCAGATTTCAAACAGCACTTGAATAAATAAATGTGAAGAATTATATGTAGCTTAGCTTAATTGGCAGCATGCTTGCACGGTGTACAGGAAGCACTGAAGAAAGCAGGCAGGATGGCCCATGCCTGTGATACCAGCACTTGGGAGGTAGGGGCAGGAAAATCAGAAGTTCAAGGTTACCCTCAGCTACATAAAGAGTTCAAGGAAGAGAAAAAGGAAAAAGAAGGAAATAATTCTAACCCTCCCAGCCACCTGTAATGGCAAAAGAGTCCTTTACGTCTGTGGCTATCATATGGAGAGATGAATCATTCATATATATATATATATATATATATATATATATATATATATATATATTATGGTTTATTTAACTTTATTTTATGTGCATTGGCGTGAAGGTGTCAGATCCTCTGGAACTGGATCTTCAGACAGTTGTGAGCTGCCATGTAGGTGCTGGGAATTAAACCCAGGACCTCTGGAAGGGCAGTCAGTGCTCTTAACCACTGAGCCATCTCTCCAGCCCCAGAAATGTGGTTTTGTTTATTTGTTTGGTTTTTGGTTTTTCAGGACAGGGTTTCTCTGTGTAGCTTTGGAGCCTTTCCTGGCACTAGCTCTTGTAGACCAGGCTGGCCTCAAACTCACAGAGGTCCGCCTGCCTCTGCCTCCTGACTGCTGGGATTAAGGGCGTGTGCCACCACTGCCCCGTGAATCATTCTTTTTTTAGTTTGCTGTATGATTTATATCTTATAAAAGTCAGTCTGTTCTTTATCATTTTACATTATCATGTGCCCTATGAAATTACTTTCTTAAGATTTATTGTTGTTGTTGTTAATTATGTGTAAGTGTGCATGGCTGCATGGCTACATGTATGCATGTGCTCATGGAGGCCAGAAGAGGGCATCGGATCCCATGGAACTGGAGTTACAGATTGTTGTGAGCCATCTGATGTGGATGCTGGGAACTTAACGCTTCCGCAAGAGAAGCAAGTTCTCTTACTGGCTGAGCCTCCTCTCCTCTCCACTCCTCCAATTACTTCTTTTAAAGGCCAGATGAATGAACACTGCATTTCTTTGTGCATAACTTCAGAGAGCACAGAAGCTCAATAAACACAATGAAATTGTTTGTGATAAGAAATTTATACAGGTGTGGTGGTGCATACCTTTAATTCCAGCACTCAGGAGGCAGAGACGGGTGATTTTGACACCAGTCTGGTCTACAGATTGAGTTCTGGAACAGTCAAAGCTACACAGAGAAATCCTGTCTTGAAAAATCAAGAAAGAAAGAAAAGGAAGGAAGGAGGGGAGGGAGGGAGGGAGGGAGAAAGGGAGGGAGGGAGGGAGGTAGGAGGAGATGGGAAGGGAGGGGAAGGGAGGAAAAGTGGAAGGAGTGGACTCACACCACAGCCTTCTCGGGATTATGTTTTTGATTACAAACTTCAAAGGTTAGCCAAACTACTTCCTCTCTTAAAAATTTTCCACCCCATTTTCAGGTTTTCTGGAATGTGGCACAGGACTGAGGCCTGTGACTGCGATAGACTCCCAGAACTCTGGGAGCCAGAACCCAGGGTGACCTTGGGTACAACGAGGCCAGTGGTTGCCAGAGGTAGGAGCAGCCGCCATAAAGTCAAGGCCAGGGAAACGGACAGAAAAGGGAGAGAGCTGTGAGGAGGGCAGGACAGTCCCAGCAACCAGAGAAGGAACCATCTTTATACGAGGCCACAAAAGAGCCAAAAAATCGCATATAGACGACTCCACTCAGACCTCAACGCAACGTAATTAGAAATCAATAATAAAGACAGCCCCAAGTGAGAACCCCAGCATAAGCTTGGGAGCTCAAACCACACTGCTGAATAATTCATCAAAAAAAAAAAAAGACACAACATAATGGAAATCACATTAACGTTCAATGAACTTAGGTCTTACACACCTAAGCCTGTGGGATTCAACTAAAACAGTAATTAGAAACTTGGCTTCTTAAATGCAAATACTATATTTCACTGAGTATAGGGCCTCAAAATGTATCCCCTGTATTGATATTTCATTTGTATTTTAATAACTAAAGCTTTCCTGAAGGTCAGTGCACAGCAGGCACACTGGTCAGCCACAGAGGCTGGGCGGTGGGGGTGCACACCTTTAATCCCAGCACTAGAGAGGATAGAAGGAAGAGATGAGACAGGAACTTGCTTCATTTCAGTGTGAAGATTTCAAAGAGGTAAGAGCTCTCTAGTGGCTTGGCTGCTTTTGCTTTTCTGATCTTCAGGTTGAACCCCAATATTTGTCTCTGAGTGTTTACTAATCACGTTATACTGCCCTGCCCAGGCACAGGAAGAGTGCCTTCTGAACTAATAGTGACAGTGCTCTGGGGAACTCAGTTACCCCTCTCCCAGCTCCCACCACCTGTTGCTGTCTAGCTCAAAAGCTGTGGTGAGGAGTGATGAGCTCAGGATACAGTCTCTGCTCTGAAAGTTCACCATCCATCAGGAACCTGCTCTAATGGATGCCAGGTAAGCTATGCCTCTCTAAAACACTGTCGAATGAGAAAGAATGACAGTCTCAAAAAAAAAAAAAACCAAAGTGGGGATTGGAGAACTCGCCCAGGAGTTAAAGAGGACCTGAGTTCATTTTCCAGCACTCTCTTTAGGAGCCTCACAACCACCTGTAACTCCAGCTCCCTCTTCTGGCCTCCACGGGTGACTATATTCATGTGTACATATCCACACACATAGACTTTTTTTGATTGGTCTGGTTTGGTTTTCAAGACAAGGTTTTCTCTGTGTCTTGAATAGCTATTCTGGCTATTCTGGAACTTGCTCTATAGACCAGGCTGGCCTCGAATCAGAGATCCACCTGCCTCTGCCTTCCAACTGCTGGGATTAAAGGTGGGTGCCACCACTGCCCAGCCAAGCCACATTCACTTTTTCAATGGACTTTTTTTTTTAAGACCAAAGGAAGGTTCTGGAAACCAGAAAGGAATTCATGGAGAAAGGGGGTCTGGAAGAAAGTCTATGTCTTTGGTGCAATCTGTAAAACTCCAGGAGATTTTCACGTCTTTGGGCAGGAACAACACCTTCCATCAACGAAGTGTGTTCTCACACTTGTCGTCTTGGCTAATGCAAACCCCCTCTGTCTGGCAAGGGGAAGGATAATTCAGCAAACTATGTTGGCTTAATATGGAGTGTTTTCAATAAGAAAAAAACTCAGTTCCCTATTCCTGCTTTTTCTGCTCAACAAGCAAGCTAAAGATCTAGGGTGGGTACCTACAACCGTAAGGAAGTAATGGGCCCTCTCTGCTGGAAAAAGCACGTACCCACACAGTATACAAGGTCCTAGCTTGGCCCCTTCATCCCACAAGACCTGAACTCCCTGTTAAGATGAACCTTAGATGTGTCTCCTGAAAGGATGTATTGAGAATAGACCACCCAGTTAAATAGTATGGGTCCTCCCTAGCTCACCCCTGAAGTGGTTTTTCTCCTTATTCCAAACCAAAATGAAAAAAAAAAACCCAGAAAGTTCTGGAAGCTTAAAGTTATATTCCCAGGGATTGGACATGTAGCTCAGTAAAGCTCTGGGTTCAACCCCAGCACTGCATAGGACCAGATATGGTGATGCAGGCCTGTAATCCCAGACTCAGGAGGTGAGGGGGGTAGGAGTTCTAGGTAACCCTCTGCCGCATAGTAAGTTTAGGTTAATATGAACTACATGGGACTGGGAAGGAAGGAGGAAACAGGGTTGGAGGAGTAAAGGTGGGATCCCAACACCATTTCCTCCTTGATATCCTAGCCATGTTGGGCAGTTGATGGTTCAAAGTCCTCCGGAAACTTAAATTGGTCAGTTTACAGCTGAGGCCTCAGACCCCTCACTCCTCTCTCTAAGTTATGAAGGAGAATCAGATATGAAGACATGGGACCTAGGAGACTGGGGACAAGGTTCAGCTGGGAAAAGATGAGACTTCTCCAGTTCCTTTTGCAGCACACTGGCTACTACTGACCTACAATCATGACACTTGAGCCTGGATTTGAACAGGTTTTTGGGAAACTGTGGCTGTCCTCTGGACTCTGTGCCCTCAAGAGAACTGTGTTTTGCTTCCGTCCTTCTTCTTCCACCTTAAGAGCCAATTATGGAGTAAGAGCACTAGCCATTGTTTAATTTAAACCTGCCTTAGAGTGCTCACAATTTCCACCTGAAGTGCCCCAGCCGAGAAGCAGTACCATATATCGACTAATATCTGAGCAAGAAAAAAAATGGATGCAGACAGGCAGGCAGAAGCAGACCAAAAACCAGCTTCAATATTTATTAACCAAAGCTCAAACCTCTGGCCCCTTTGCTCATTTGGAATATACTTCCCAGCTGTCTGGAGTTCCAGTCAATAACATATTTTAGTCTCTGCTTTGTCTTTGTTGTTGAGACAGGATCTCCTGCAGCGGAGACTGACCTCAAAGTTGCTGGTCAACTGAGGATGACTTTGAATTGATCCTCCTGCCTCCACCTCCCGAGTGTGGGCATTGCAGGTATGTGCATGCCAGTTTTAGCTCCTCCTTTTGACGGTATTCTCTGCCAATCAGATCTTGAATATAGACATGACTTCATTGTGTATGTCCCCAACCAGCTCCTGCATAGCTCGGATCTGGAATGCTCTCCCAAAACCCATGTTTTGAAGACTTAGTTCCTAGTCGGTCACACTGTTGGGAGATGGTGGAAGAGGAGAGGTGGCTCAGCAGTCAAACACTGGCTGCTCTTGCAGAGGACTGGACTTCTATTCCCAGTACCCACATGGTGGTTCAACTTCAGTTCCAGGGGACCCTCTTCTAACTTCTGCTGGTGCCAGGCACATAAACAGCACAGATGCATGCAAACATACAGGCAAAACATGCACATAAGATAAAGACTATCTTTAGACGGGAGGTGGTGGCACTCGCCTTTAATCCTATCCCAGTACTGGAGAGGCAGAGACAGGTGAATTTGAGGCCAGCCTGGGCTACAGAGCAAGTTCCAAGATAGGCTGCAGATACAAAGAAACTCTGTCTCAAAAAAAAAAAAAACCCACAAAATATAATCTTTAAAAAACAATCATCGTTTCTTGACCAAAGTGGAGATGCTTTGATCCGACATATGACGTCACTAAAATATGTCACCAGAAGTTCAAAGCAACAGGACCATGGACAGAAACTAAAACCATGAGCCAAACCCGCAACAACAGAGGCTTGTGATGATTCCAGCACTTGGGGACTTGAGGCAGGAGGATGGAGAATTTCAGGCAAGCTTAGGCTACATAAGGAAGTAGCAGTGGTGTTCAATCTTAAAAAAAAAAAAAAATACTATAAAGCCACAAGCCAAGAGGTTATAAGCCCACCCAGAACTCAACTGTATCTCCTGTCCACCTTGGTCATGCCCAAGTCACTGTTCTCTGGAACCTTCTCCAGCTCTCTAGTACAGGCCGCTCTTGAAATGGAAGGAAGTTGGCAGCTGGGTTTGCCGTTTCCAGTACTCATGGGCTCACCTGTGCACGCAGAGATTTTAAATGGAAGAAAACGGAGATAAACAAAGGGTCTTGTTAGAAAGTCTGTCTTTCAAAACCATAAGCCTTTGAAAGGCAAGAGGCAGAGCTGGGGTCTCTTTGTGATGTTCCTGGGTTTGAATGGCAACTCCCCTCGCCCCACCCAACCCCCAGCCGCCACCACCTGCCCTCCCTCCCGACTCAGGGCTCCAGATACTCTCGTCCTAACCCACCCCAGAGTCTCCTGAAACTTCTGAGTCCTACACCCACTTCCCTAGGGGGTGGGGGAAGCCCTTGATCTACCCTTGGACGACTCCATGGAGTTTATTGGCCGGATGAACGCACCAACTGGCAACGGAACTGCCGAATGCCAAGGATGCAAAGCGAAAGAAAGGGCGCCTACCACCGCCTGCAAGGCTCGGTCCAGGGTTGCCAGGACAACCTGCCACTTCCTGCCGGCTGGCGCGCTAGTCCTGATGCGCCTCTCTCTCAGAACCTGATGCTCTGGCCTGGGTTGAAGATGGGGGTCTCAGGTGTAAGGGCTGAAGAACCTCAGGATTTTGTTTGAGCTTCTGGCTCTTTTCCAAGCAGCTGTCACTGCCACTCCTGTAACCTCCAGTGGCCCTGAACGATGCCGCTCACAAAGCTTGCAGATGCAGGTTTAGAATTGGCCCTGATTAGGCAGAACTCACCCACCACTTAGAGCGCCTTTTTCTGGGCCAGGCTCCCTGTTGGATGCTATCTTCCTTCAACAGCCAGCTGCGTTTTTCAAAATAGAAAACTGACTCTGAGCAAAGGCTCATTCAAGGTCACCCAGAAAACGGATTCACACCCAAGTTTCACCCTTACGAACCTATTATTCTTTCTATGGTATAGACTGAGATGTATCTTTCCAACCCTTTCCCTAGTAAATCTTGCATGGAAAATTGTTGGGTTTTGTATTTTTTTTTCTCCAACTCAAACTGAGTCTCTAAATTTATATTGATACTTAGTTTCTCCTATGGTTAAGTGGGAAAAATACGAGTGCTTTAATTAATATAAATACTCATATTTGTGTGTGTGTGTTGTATGCATGTGTGTGCACGTGTGTGAGGCACACTAGCCTATGCACGTGCATGCCGTGGCCGGAGGTCAGTGTCACGGGTCATCCTCCATTGCTCTCCACCTTAGTGTTTGAAACAGGGCTTTTCTTGGAGCTCACTCATGTTACAGCCAGGCTGGCCAGGAGTCCTAGGTGCAGCAAGCACCTTACCCCCTGAACCATCTCCACAGAGTGGTTTCATTTTTAATAATTGTAAATAATTATTGATTGTAAAAGAAACAAGACTGGAAATCTTGATCCTGAGCCAGCCGAAATTTGCATAGATGGGGGAGGTGCTCTCCAGGGTACACGCCCCTTATTGAGGAGCTATCCAGTAGTTCATAGGGGCTGGGGTTATGAAAAAGACTGAAGGGCCACCTGTGAGGTCAAATGTGGTTGAATGGAGTCAGTTTCACAGGAGTGGGTTTTAATAAAATGTTAGAACTCCTAGCAGGGTCCCCAACAGGGTCAAGGGCATGAGACAGATTAGAAGCTCTCCCTGGGGCAGAAGCAAAGCATTGTTAGAGAATTGTTACACAGCAGAAGGACTTTTCACGTTAATGGTAAGTCTTTATTGTAAGCATCCCTTTTGGGGACCAGGGTAGCTTGATTCTTGTTTTATTGTGGCAGGGTCTCACAGTAGCCCCAGTTAGCCTGGAACTCGCAATGTAGACCAGACTGGCCTCAAACTGTGTCCCAAGTGCTGAGCTGAAGTCATTTGCCTCCCCACTGACATGTGTTGGATCTCTCCAAGAGCCCTGACTGCCTGATAGGACTGTTAGCCATCCACAGTCAGGCGGACTGGCCTTCTGCGGACAGCAGCCACTGACACGCCAAGGTCTTGAAGAAGCTACACCGCTGCCCAGCAACTACCGTAGTTGCTGCCGAAGCTCTCTGGCTCTTGGAGGTGCAACCCCACTCATGACCGCTCCAAACAGCTTGCATAGAACTCACTGTCATCAAAAGCTCTGGGAAAAGCTAAATGATCTTGCCTCTCCCACCCAGACCAGAAGAGAAACGCTTCGCCGGCAGCCCAGCAGAACACCTGTAGCCAGTGCGAGCATAGCCCTTCATGTGCATGAGAGTTGGCTGTGATTGGTATGCACATCCTGTTTCTGGCTGTGTAAGCTCAGAGAACAGCTCCCTTTGGGAACAGATAGGTAGAAGACTGCCTCTTGGGATTGCAATGGTAAGCCCAATACAAAGGCTTCTCTCAAGTGATCTTTTCCTATGTATGCACATGTGCATGTGTGTGTGGGCATTTCTATGCATATGGGCACATGCACATGCTCACACATGTATACATACATGTGGAGACGGTGGTCGATCGCAAATGCTTTCTGCAGTCACTCTCAACCTTATTTTCTCTTGGTTTTGCTTTTTCCAGACAGGGTTTCTCTGTAACTTTGGGGCCTATCCTAGAACTCACTCTGTAGACCAGGCTGGCCGCCTGCCTCTGCCTCCCGAGTGTGTACCATCACTGCCCATCTTTCCACTTTACTTTTTTGATCGAGGGTCTCCCACTGAATAGTTTACCTATTCAGCTAGATTATCTGACCATCAAAACCCCAGGGATCCATTCATCTCTGCCCCCCTAGTGCTGGGATTACAGGCACATTTCTCCATGCTTTTTGAGATGGGTTCTGAGGGTCAGGCTCAGGCTTGTGAGCTCCTCGCACACGGAGCCATCTCTCGAGGTCCTCCCTTAGCAGAGTGAACTCATCCGGTGACTGAGAGAAGAAAGACTCGGACGGCGACGCAGGCAGCAATGGAGCCAGCAGCCATAAATTCAGAAGGAAGGCTGGAGAATTCCAGAGGGCTTCCAAGCCTTAAGAGTCACGTTTCCAGAGAGCTGGGGAGAGCTAAGATTCCAACTTTCTAACACAACGCGCACGGCACGAGTTACTGCGTGAGTAAGTGTCCCAGAACCTAAGACCTGTACAAGGACGGCAACCCCAGAAGGTGCATCCGCCGCTGCTCCCTGCCGTCTGCTCTCCTCCTATCAGAAGCGGAGGGTTCCGAAACTGCCGAGTGCTGACCATTGACGCTAAACCTAAGCCTCCAGCCTGAGAGCTGGGAGTCTCTGACTTCTAAAGGACTTAGAACTCTAAACCTCTGGGACTTGGGCACTCTGCTCCGTCTGCCATGGCTAGAAGATACTGTCCCCAATATTCTGTGATTCCTACGGGGCTCCTGCCATCTGATAGGGAACACAGAGAGGAACTGACTTAAGTCTGCGTCCTTGGCCTTCACTCTGTGGGGCCTAGCTTCCTTAGTTCAGTGACCTGGAGTTTGGCTCCAGGCGGGAATGCAGGAGCTGCGGGCCACGTGTACAGCTCCAGACCCTGGACGGGACAGCCGCTGCTGATCTTTTGTTTCGCACACCTCCTGCAACCCCGCAGTTGAGAGAAGCCGGGGCAGCAGTAAGAATTAGGTGTCTAGGGATAAGAGAAAGCCGGCAGCCAAGGAGAGGTATCAGATAAACCCTTCCTCTTCTCTCACGGATCTTGGCAAACAGGAAGTGATGCTGTGAAAAGAAGCTTGAGTCGGGCATTATCTGATGGCTGAGGAGTCGCATACTTTTGTAAGAAGCCCCTGTATTTGTTCAGGCCCAAGAGCTGCAAGCTAAACCGGGGTTTGGAGGCACAGCTGCATTCCCCAAACCCCTACATTGAGGAAGCCTTTTTTCTCAATGTCAGTAAAAGGTCACCCACGGCAAATCATCAGTGTACCCGTTTGTACCATCAATGTCCATCAGAGGGCAGTGTAAACCCAGGTATGGGGAAGAAGCGGCCAGCTCTGCTACCACAGCCTCACGGAAAAGGTGACGGGGTGCGCAGGCTGGGAGGGGTGTCTCAGTAGAAAGCAGCTGAGAAATCAGAGATGAACGACCACTGACACAGTCTGATGAACCTTCAGTGGCAGGCTGTTACAAAAAGGGGGTGAGAGAGTATGACTGCCCCCAGATCCAGTCTCCAGACATACCTCCAGATTTACTGTCAACTCAGGTCAGGTATAATCCCATACCTTATGCTTCCAAGAACAGTTCTCAGAGCAGAGACCCAAAGGTGAGTAAAACACAGTCTTGGGGAGCTGGTGTGATGATTCAGGCAGTAAAGTGCATATTCCCTACGCATAAGGACCCACGTTCAATTCCCAGGACCCACGTAAAAGAGCCAGACCTTTATCTTCTCACTTCAGAAAGAGACAGACAGGGAGGGGGCACAGTAGGGTGGCCAGTCCAGTTAGTACCTGAACATTAGAACTCATCTTCCTTGCTCATTTTCATAGTGAGCCTGGGTCGTTGCTTCCGTCTCACACGGTCCCACACAGTCCCAGGCCTTCACGCCTGTGCTCTCTGCAATGAGGGGTCCACTCGTCATCTTGGTACCAACCAGGCCATCAGCACTCCCATTACTGACTGACAGCTGCCCAGGAGAGAGAGCTGAGATCTGAGATGAGGAGTATTCCCAGAAGTACCAAGAAAGAAAGGGAGGGAAGAAAGGAAAGGGGAAGGAAGGGAGGGAGGGAGGGATGGAGGGAGGAAAAGAGGAAGGGGAGGAAAGGGAGGAAGGAAGGAAGGAAGGAAGGAAGGAAGGAAGGAAGGAAGGAAGGAAAGAAAGAGGGAAGGGAAGGGGAGGGAAAGGAGGAAGGAAGGGAAGGGAAGAAAGAAAGAAAGAAAGAGGAAGGAGGAAAGGAAGGAAGAAAAGAAAGAAAGAAGGAAGGAAAGAAAGGAAGGAAGGAAGGAAGGAAGGAAGAAAGAAAGAAAGAAAGAAAGAAAGAAAGAAAGAGAAAGTACCTTTTCTCTAGGATTTCAGGGTAATGTAAACCAAAACCCAAGCTGATAAAGCACATTTATTTTACTAAAGCTTATTAATGTGTGCAGTGTGTAAAGCAGGTCAGGGTATCCACTCCGACAAGTGCAGAGTCGATGCTCTTTGGGATAGGTAGGGAGAAGGGTGAAGTGGGCAGGGTTGCTATGGAGAATTTTTTTTTTTTTTCGAGACAAGTTTCTCTGTAGTTTTGGAGCCAGTCCTGGAACTAGCTCTTGTAGACCAGGCTGACCTCACACTCACAAAGATCCGCCTACTTCTGCCTCCTGAGTGCTGGGATTAAAGGAGTGAGCCACCTCCAGCTGCTATGGAGTTTCTTGAATTCTAGGATTAACCCAATAGAATAGAAAGCCCTTCTTGTGCCATCTGAGGAACGACCAACAAACAAGGAAACCCGTGCACATCATGGTCCTCCTTCTGCCCCTCTGAATCCACAATCCACTCCCCCCAGCCTGGGAGACCTGTATGGACTGTGCATCTCCAAACCCCAGCTCCTACAGAGGCAAGGACGAAGAGGAGGAAAGCAAAGTTGGGGTGCTTCTTCCCCCAGCTCCCTTGTCTGTCTTGTCCATGTCCCCTCCTTGAGGCCACAGTTTCTGTCAGAGGCCCTGTCCCCACAGAGAGAGAGAGAGAGAGAGAGAGAGAGAGAGAGAGAGAGAGATAATAGATGACAGATAGATAAATGATAGATAGAAAGATAGATAGATAGATAGATAGATAGATAGATAGATAGATAGATGATAAGTAGGTAGGTAGGTAGGTAGATAGATGATAGGTAGGTAGATAGATAGATGATAGGTAGATAGGAAGATGATAGA